GGATTCGGTGGCGACGCTCCCTTCCCCCTCCGCTGGGGCCCGTCCAGGGCTGGGCGCCGGCTGCATCTTAGTGCAAGTGCGCAGTGGCCACATTGTCGCTTCCCATCGTGGCTTCACCCCGCTGGCCCGGTTCCCCCAAGGAAACCTGACGAAGGGTGTCTCCTCCAGGGAAGGGCAGGCCGCGGGCCGCCGGCGCCTCTCCTTGGAGAAGTGGCCTGGGACCCTTCCCAGATGGAGGGACTCGGAGGGCGCAGAGGGAATGGGTCGCCTGCAACTTGTCTGTCCCCCACTCGCGCCCCCACGTCAGGACGCCTTTGGTGGAGGGGATGGGGAGGGCATTTCAAAGCAAAGCCATTGGTAGAGTAAGCACAGCTAATAACACATGCTGCCATACTTAAAAAAAATTTACCAGGTATTGGTACCACTTTACCAACGAAAAGTTTAGTGCGTCCTACACGGAGGGGTGGGGATAGGTAGGGAAATGATTGTATGGGTACCCTCCCGTTCACCCCAAATTCTCTCTGTGGCTTTTGAGAAATCACTACGCACTCGATTTTGAAAACGTCAGTAGCCAAATGCCGAGATGACAGCAGGGTTTTTGGTTTGGTTTGATCTTCGTGTCAGAAATGGTTCCTAATCTAGGGAATACCGGATACGACTTAATGTAATTCCTTGATTAAATCACACAGTTAACTTCTGGTTGCACCGCTTAGTTTTGTGATACAACGCCACTGGGACGACTTAGGAATGAAGACGGGTGGGATTTATTGTCACCTGTTACCCTTAGCACCACGTAGGACACCTTAGTTAGTGTTGAAATTAAGTTCTAAACGCTAGCGGTCTGGTTTCACTACCATGCATTATTTGATTTTTAAGAGTAATAACTACCTAGGATTACAAATGTACACATTTAATGAAAATCTATTTATCTTTTACCTATTTATGGTTTCCAAGAGTTAACTTTGCATCCTGGGTGGGAAAAACAAAATCGCAACTGCAAAGAGAAGCACCTTTAGACCCCCACCTGCCTCACTCTGCTCGGACTCTTGAGAGAGATGCTGGAAATTAGTAAATGAATTTTGGTTCCTTTTTGCAAACGATAGCCCAGTTTTCTTAATATTCATAATCTAATGGAGGACTGGCAGGCATGGGTCCAGGTGTTATGTACCTGAAACTTCTGCAGTTGTGGATGTCAGGCGGGGTGGGGTGTGGATTCTTAAGGAGAATCCTTGAGCTGTTGCTGGGTCTTCCTCCTGGCAAGGGAGGGTTGGAAGCTTGGTCTTTGTCATCTTCCTGTTGGTACATCTGCCTAGGAGGCCTGTCTGTCTTTTCTGAAAGTAACCTAAAGGAGTACACACAGGATATGTTTCCATAAACCTATCAGAGTATCGGTTTGGATAGCGCACGAAGATCATTTCAGTTGACACGTCTAGACTGAAGTAGTTGCAGCATTTTTATTTTTTTTTTTTACAGCTGTGGGCTTTTCAGATGGAAAGGTCCTGCTTTTCATGTCCTGCAATGAAGCTGTCGCTAATTAAAGCAAAGTCCTTTTTTTTTTTTTAGTTTTATTGCTTAAAGTATTACAAAGGGTATTACATATGTCTCATTTTTCCCCCCACCCTTGACAATCCCCTGACAGCAAAGTCTTTTTAGCACAGTTTGTCTTGGGACATATTTCAAAATTCTCTGTTCCCCTTTCTTAAATTTTATGAAGATTTATCACTTTTGTCAACAAACAAGTGTGTTCTAGCAAGGCAATGATAATTTAGAAACTTATTTTACTACCATATATAAGATATATATATTCAGAGAGTATGTATGTGTGTGTGTGTGCGCATATATGCGCGCACACACATATATAATTTGATACCTATAGGTATTTTTCATTACATAAATGTGTTTTCTGATTATCTACTATTTGCAACACATTCAGATAGAAATTATAGGAGAAAAAAAAGATGTGTAAGATGGGCCATATACATAAGAAGCTTATACAGTAGAAAGTGAGACATGGACAAACATAATTTTAAAATTTTTTTTGAATTTTTAATTATAGTTGACATACAATATTTTAGTTTCAGGTGTACAACATAGTGATCAGATAGTTATGTAACTTACAAAGTGATCACCCCAGTAAGTCTAGTACTCACCTGACACCATACATACTTATTACAATATTACTGACTATATTCTCCATGCTCTACTTTATATCCCCATGACTATTTTTATAACTGGCAATTTGCACATCTTAATCCCTTCCCTTTTTCACCCATCCTCCAAACTCCCTCCCATCTGTTTGTTCTCTGTATCTATGAGTCTGTTTCTGTTTTGTTTGTTTATTTTGTTTTGTAGATTCCACATATAAGTGAAATTGTTTGGTATTTGTCTTTCTCTGTCTGACTTATTTTACTTAGCATAATTCCCTCTAGGTCCATCCATGTTGTTGTACACGGCAAGATTTCATTCTTTTTTTTGTGGCTGAATAATATTTCATTGCAAAAAACATAGGAAGTGCATATGTCTTTTCAAATTTGTGTTTTGGGTTTCTTTGATAAAGGACCAGAAGTGGAATTGAAGGGCATATGGTAGTTCTATTTTTAATTTTTTTGGGGGAACCTCCGTATTCTTTTCCATAGTGGATGCACCAATTCACAATCCTACCAACAGTGCAGGAATTCCCTTTTCTCCACACCCTTACCAACACTTGTTGTTTGTTGATTTATTAATGATAGCTATTCTGACAGGTGTGAGGTCATACCTCATTGTGGTTTTAATTTGCATTTTCCCAATGATTAGTGATGTTGAACTCAACAGACATAACTTTAAATAAGGCAATACCTGGTAAGTTACTAAAAGAAAGTACACCAGTATATTTATCAGGTCATGGTATATCAAGCCCCTTCTCTTTATCCACCCTACTTTTGTCCAGGACAATTACTTTTAGTCATTTTGTGTGCTTTTTCTTAAGGAGTCTGGCTATTATTCTAGAAAGGAAACAGAAAACACCTAACAGAAAACATCTCATGTGACTAACCTCTTAAATAATGGGGTGAAACTCTGAAATTAAACTTTTACTCTTTAGTTTTATAAATGCATATGTTTGTTTCCACTTGGCTATGTAAAATGTCTTTTAAGATCACAAATATTAAGAATTAGTCAGATCTTTTCTTAAGCCACTAAAAATACACACTCATTCATTCAACCAATATGTCTTAAGTGGCACTATATACCAGGCTTTGATCCTAACATTGAGATTCACTATTGAATAGAACAAAGTCCTTACCCTGGTGCTGCTTGCATTCCTAGTTCGGGAAAACAAACAGTAAATCAATCAAGAAGTACATAATAACTTAGATCAGTGGTTCTCAACCTTCTGGCCCTTTAAATACAGTTCCTCATGTTGTGACCCAACCATAAAATTATTTTCGTTGCTACTTCATAACTGTGATGTTGCTACTGTGATGAATCGTAATGTAAATATCTGATATGCAGGATGGTCTTAGGCGACCCCTGTGAAAGGATCCTTCGACCGCCAAAGGGGTTCGCGACCCACAGGTTGAGAACCGCTGACTTAGATGGTGATAAGTGCTAGGAAGGAAAGCAGAGCAGGTCAGAGGAATTGATCATAATAGGGATCTGTTTTATAGAAAGTGGTCAGGGATGGCATCTCTGATGAGAGGACCTTTGAGCAGAGACCTGAAGGAATTGAGGGACGAAACACTGAAGATACCTGGGATACGAGTGTTTTGTAGAGGCAGATGGAAGAGCAAGTGCACAGACCCTGAGCTGGGAGAGTGCATAGCAAGTTCTAGCGTCAGGAAGGGGACCAGTGTGAGTGAAGCAGAGAGGTAGAGAGACGATGGTCTCATTAAGTAAACTAACACAATCAGTTCTCTACTTGCTAGTGAAAAGGAGGAAAAAATTATATTTATAAATGGTCCTGGGCCGAAGCCGGTTTGGCTCAGTGGATGGAG